TTTATATTGATTGGAGTAGAATTAAAAAGATATTTTAAATCATTTATAATAATGTCGAAATAATAAAAAATAAGTTGCAAGTCATAATACAATATTTTATTATGTTTCTATTTTTTCTTTTGTATATATCTAGAAATTTGTATAATGTACAATAATTTTGGTATATATATATCATAATTATATATGTGCATCTGTAATTTCATGTTTTTTTTATAAAAAAAACATTAATGATTAAATTGATTGTATATTATTCATTTGTTAATTGTATATATAGTAAGCTTGATATATGTTTCTATACTTGAGTGTGTAACGTTTATATATACAATATTTTATTATGTACATAATTTTTCTTATATATCGACGAATTTGTATAATGTATTATAATTTTGTATATGTATTATAGAGTGATTTTAACAAATTTCTGTATACAAAATTAAATAATTGTATATAAATAGCTATTGTCTTATAAGACTTTGTATATGTTACCTTAATATACAACTCACTATATACATAACTTTAATAATTGGTATACAACTAATAGAATATACAATTAAGAATTTGTCTCATAATACTTTGTACGGAAAAGGACCTAAAATGCTCTCAAATTATTGTAAATGGTACAAAATTATCATTCATCCACCTATTGGCTCCAAAACACTTTCCACCTATCTATTGATTCCAAACTACTCTTGTCATTAACCTTTATGTTCAAAATTGACTACTTATTAACTGTTTTAAATTTAAGTTATTTAAATATTTTTTAAATACATGACGCTCAACTATTTGTTATCATTTAACTTATTATTATAATTTATAAATCAATCCACTATCCACCTGTTACTAATTAAACCCCTTCAAATTAATAAACTCGTCACATTACTATTGCAATAACAAAAAAAGTTACTTCCAATGAGTGTACTTAAAAATTTGAAGTGAAAATATCTGTAGAAGTAAATTATTATACATTCAAGTTCTAAATAAAAATTACCGATAAATTTAAAACTCTGACTTTGTTCATTTTAATTATTATTTCATCTCAATTATGTGATGTTACTACATAGATAACTTTTTTTCAAAATAATATATTAAAGTTTTTAAAACAAAATCATAAATATTTATAAAATTATATTTTAAAAAGTGTATGAATTAAATGTATTACTTCTTTACCTTTAATCATAAATTTCTAATTAAAGCTTGAAAGAGAATCTTATTGAAAATGTCCTCCTAAATAAGTGGTTCAACCTAAATTTAGTTGGGACTTAGATTCTGACTCGAATAATTTTGGATGTTATTTTTAGGAATATATAATTTCGTCTTGTTTTAGTAGAGTTTATGGCGATTTTGATATTATAATTGGTTTATTAATTGGGTGGTATTTAGTTAGTAATTTTTGGGTAGTGCATTGATTTATAAATTATTTTAATAAATTAAATTATAATGAATAGTTGAGCGTCAAGTATTTTAAAAAATGTTTAAACGGTTTAATTTTAAAAGAATTAATAAGTGGTCAATTTTGAACCCAAAGGTGGATGACAAGGGTATTTTGGAGCTAATAGGTGGATGAGAAGGGTTTTTGGAGCCAATAGGTGGATGGAGGGTAATCTTCTACCATTTTCAATACTTCGAGGGTATTTTAGGCACTTTTCCGTACTTTGTATATATTACCTTAATATAAACCCACTATATACATAACTTTGTAATTTGTGTATAAATTACACTAGATGTTTTTTATATTCTTCAGATTTGTCTAGCTATGATGAGGTAGATTCAATCTCCTCTGAATCAATGTTTATGGCTTTTATCTTATTTTCGCCTTCAACAATCTTAATGCCGCTAGATTTCGCGTTGTTAATGCTTTATGAATTGCCATTAGGTTATTTTTTTCATGGATCCCAATTCTTCAATAGATTGTTCAACTTGAACTTGTTTATGTTTTGTCATAGACCTTACAGTGACCCCAAAATCCTGAGTTAATCCAATTGAAACAAAGGTGGATTATCAACAACATTGACATGCAATGACATACCTCTCGTAATCCCTATAGATGGAGAGAAATCATTCATTCTGATTTTGAATGACTTGTAATCTGATAAGTAATAAAGATTTTTTTAAAACTAACAATCATACTACATATACAAATTATTGAAGAAAGAATTAAGAAAAAAAATATTGAAAGCCATGAATTTGGCGGTTACTATCGAAAAGTGAAAGAACATCGAAGGAAGAAGATCAAAATTTTCCCAATGGAAATTCAAATTAGAAGGGAAGAGTAATTTTAGGAAAAGATATGAAATGAGAATGAGAGAGATAAATTTGATTTTGAATAAAATTATATAAACATCTTTGAATGAATATTTTTATCCCGTATATAAATAAATAGTGAATCCTATTAATTGTGACAAAAAATAAAATTATATTTACTGACAAAGTGACAGTAAATAAATTAAAATATAACCTTATTAACTAATTACATAGGGACGTTTGACATCCTATGTAATTTTCCTTTAAGACAATTAAAGCCCGTAAATTGTGTCTCATGGCCAGTGGGCCAATTAACACTGACGGCCCAACGCCCATGTCCCATCTCCCTCGTCATTCGACAGGGTCATTTGCACTTTTGCTCAAGTCAATTTTTAATTTTGTCCTCTAAAGTAAATAAATAATAATAATAATAGTTATGAGTCATAAATTAATATATACTAAGTCCTTAAAGAAGAACCTCACGTAAATATCATGGAATAAGGTTTACATCATAATATATTAGGGTAACTTTCACATATAACAAATAAAAAATTTATATTTGTATAATATAGCAAACTTTGCATAATTGCGCTCCATAGCAAACATAAAAACTGTATAATTCGCTATACATATACAAGTGTATAATTCGCTGGCCTAAATTTATAATTTGCTGGCCTAAATTGTATAATTCGCTGGCCTATTTCGCTGCAATTGTATAATTTGCTTTGCATATAGTTGAATCGAATTAAAATGTATGTATATTGCATAATTATAAGTTTATAGCAAAAAGATACATGTTTTTCTCGCTTTATACAAAAACAGAAACACAATATATACACTTCTATTGTATAAAGCTAGATAAAAATGTATTTCACTGCAATTGTATAATTCGCAATTGTATAATTCTTTGGCCTTTTTCTCTGCAATTTTTGAAGTAAAATGTTAGTAAATTGTATAATTAAGTGTATAACACGAAGATATACATTTTTGCATGTGTATATACAATTTTCTCTCGCTTTATACAAAACAGAATCAGAATTATACACTTCTGTGTATAAAGCGAGAGAGGTGAGCGAGATTCCTGGGAGAGAGACGCTTGCAAATTTTAAATAATGTTTGCTATGGAGCACAATTAAATCAAACCCTAGCTATTCTATTTAATTTAGGTTATTAGTTTGCTATTTTATACAATTTTCCCAATATATTATGCCCATAAGGAAATTATATCTCACTGGATATTAGTTTGATTTGTTAAAATAAAAATAAGAAAACAGATCATTTAAAGAACAATTCGTAAAATTAATAGCCTTAGAAATGTTACGATTCGTAAAACTTTATATATACTTTGAACATTTTGAAACTTTAATGAATAATGATATATTAATGGTGTGAGATTGTCCCGATGACAAGCCAAATGATCCTTAATGCGAGAAAAATCAAATTTATCATTTTTCGCGTATTATAGTCCATGCATTTTTGGTGATACATGATCTCGACTTAATTAATAGCGTGAATTGAAATCGAGGGACGAACAGAGACGTTATCAAGCTCAAACAAATCTCAATGTAGGAATATGTAGATATAAAGACTGTAATATATAACAGATACCAAAGTCCCAAAACAAGTGATACTTCAAACATGTGTAACACTTTTTAAATTTCGCATCAAGATTTTATTTGGCTACAAGTTTCCCAAAACTATGCTCATATATCATTCAGATACCTGCTTGGTATAATCTAAAATGGTTTCCCAAAACAATTCTCAATGCGGGAATACGTAGCTTGACTTATTTTAAGCTGACACTCATCGGTAAGAAATTCTTACGACTATTGGCTTATAAGCCCCTTCAAACATGCTCTTATTGTGTTTTTTTTCCCTCTCTCGGCAAGTTGTTTCACATTCTGAATTTTAATTACATTTCTTAGAGTGTTTCCTGATATGGTGTATTTATTATCATAAAAGGTTATGGTTCTGCTATCTTGAGTTTGAACCTAGAGTAAAGAAAAATTAATTCTTATAATGTGTACTTCTCCCTTAATGTGTCTTGTGTAGTATGAATTTGGATTAATTGAACTTTAATGCAGATGTAGAATCGAATGAGAAAACAAAACAAACATCAAAGTTGAATAACGCATAAGAGAAGTTAAAGATTTTAGAATAAAAGAAAGTATGAGAAAGAGTCTATGTCTAATTCTTGGTGAACACTACCAGCATAGGAGATATAGAAATTTCATGAAATTAATCGAAGTGAGTGTAAACTGACACAAACACCATGACTATCAAAGAAAAGAATCAATAATAAAGTTTCCCAACTAAATTCGAAAACGAATGTTACTCTACAGCGCATACAAAATTACCAAAACCTAGAAAAGTTTTTGAATACCATTATATTGCTCAAGTCCAAACACTGAATCCTTAGATCTGATTAAACCAAATTTGGTACATGATGTTTCCTCCTACTATTGGTCCTACACAGAGAGTTAGTGCTGGTAATTGATTGATGGCTAAGTACTGAAAACGAATGAAAAAAATAAATTGATAACACAATGTATAATATGTGACACAAGAATTTGTCACATTTCATTGACAAATTCAGTTTTTATGACTTACTTTATAATTAGGATTTTAGATGTGATATTTGAAGCTTAATAAAGACATGATCTTTGAATATATAGAGGAAAATATCAAGATTGAAGATTAAATCAAAAGCAATTTGAGCTTTTATGGGTCACAATGACTAAAATTTCTGGACTGAATTTGTGGGGTGCGCCAGGCCCGTGCAATAGTGCAACGCATGGGCGACGCTTGAGAGCCTAGATAGCAAGCTACCTTGACAGACTTTCCCCCTTAAAAAATTGAGTTAATATCGTGTGAATCGATGACTCACATATCAGATATTAAACTGATAAGAACAGATACTACACTTGATCTTAGCCAAAAGGCCGAGAAAGGTATGCTATGAAATGGTGCCTGTTTCGAAATTTGTAGTACCCTACAGATGCCTTGTTACTCAGTCTGTGTAATGATGTGGGAGTTCTGGACAAAACGCATCACATTTCCTAGAAAATCACATTTATTATTTACATGAAGGAGTAGTTATTTGAAAGAAAAAGAGCTTAAAATATTTTAAATTATTTTTGTAGCGTTTAAAATAAGATTGAAAATATTTTTAAATGCTTATTGTTATATCAGTAACAAAAATAAGTTGTAAGTTATATGTTAGAAATCTTTACTTATGACTTTTGGCTTATAAATTCGTTCAAACATGTTGTTATTGCGGTTTTTTTTTTCCTTTCCTGAGCAAGCTGTTCGAAATTCTTAATTTTAGTTACATTCCTTAAGTGTCTCTCAGTATGTGATGAAATGAATAAGATCTCTCTCGAGTTTGAATTCTGAGTATAGAAAAATTAATTGTTATAAGGTGCACTTCTCACTTTAATGAGTCTTGTTGTGACATGAATTTAGATTAGTGGGACTTCAAAGTAGATATGAAATGAATGAGAAACAAGAAAATATCCATGGTTATTATAGATTATATTTTTTTGCATAAACTTTTCTCACATTCAACAACTAACTTAAATAATGCATAGGATAAGTTTAGATTTTAGAATAAAACACTTTAAAGTCAAGAAAAAGAGCCTTTGATGATTTTCGGTGAATAGTACTAGGAAATGAGAGAAATTTTATGAAATTAGTTAAGGTGTACGTAAATTAACTCAAACATCAGATGATTATCAAAGAAAAAAAATCATAATAAAGAGTTTCAATTCAATTAAATTTGATAGTGAATATTATTCTGCGGTCCATATCAAAAGTGTACAAAAACCTAAATAAGTTTTTAAATCGCTTAATAATTAATACCATAATTAACTTCTAGATCTGATTTAACCAAATTTGGTGCATGTTGTTTCCTCCTAGATTGGTCCTACATAGAGAGAGTGGGTGATGGAGGTTGATTGATGGTTAAGTACTGAATATTAATGTAAACAATATGCCCAAAAAAAAAATAGATCACAAGATATGTGACACAAGTACTTCTCTTATTAATTTATTCTTCGATATTAGTAATATATGTTATTTCATAATTTACTTCACATGACTTTTTCGCTACTGTAATTGTTGTACATATTTATTTCCCATTGGTGTTACTTGAGTTGAGTATCCACCTTCATAAGCTACGGTAAATCGACATGCACACCACTCTTTCAAACCCCACTAATAATTATGAGATTCCAAACCTCAACGTCAAAAATTCACTAATATGAATTTTTTTTTTTAACAAATTTTATGTCTCCATCAAAATTAATTTTAGGAAAATTCAGATATCAAATATTTAAAAATGTAAGACTAGCTGATCTAATACGCAGTCTTACTAATTTCGAGAAAATTACGTGACATGTTATTTACATCAAATTAATAATTCAATTTAAAAAATCACAAATTAATATGAGATCACATTTTTCTGAATTATATTTAAGTCATGAATAATTATTAGGCAATAATAGTACAATTTTTGTTTTATCCACAAGTATTTTGCTCAATAAAACAAAAATGTTTGCCCTAACAATGAACACAATTAAAGCCTGTAAATTGCGTCTCATGGCCCAGTGGGCCAAATAACACTGACGGCCCAACGCCCTCACGTCAGTTTTTAATTTTTGTCCTTTAAAGTAAATAAAAAATTATGAATCATAAATTTATATTTTTACATCATGTTCTAATAAGGAAATTATGTATCACTAGATATTAGTTTGATTTGGAAGAATAAAAAATAAAAAACAGTTCATTTAATAAAATTTATAGCCTTAGAAATGTTACAATTGGATGAGTTGGCCAATGGCCAACAATCACCAGAAGGAACAACACAAATTGGAGAGTATCGGTTGATCCGAGGGGTAAATAGGCGCATTTTCAAGTTTATACGATTTTAATTTTTTATTGTACGTGATCTCGCTTTGTTTTTGGTCGAAATGTTTTATGGACGTCTATTAGAACCTTATTAATGGCATGAGTTGGTCCTGTGAGGTAGGCATACACATTTTTTAAAGTTCAAACGAATCACAATATCAAAATGAGTAAATATAAAGAGTGTGATAGTAACCCTTAAAATAGATGCATGGGTGACTTTTCTCTCTCTATATATATATAATTAAATTCACAAAAGGCTGAATTTAAATATATATATATATATATATATTGTGTCGAAATTGTTAATTTCGAATAAATACATTCAATTTTCATGAAATGCAAATCAGAAATTTCCCAAAATTGATTCTCTCTACTTGAGTTTGTTCAGCCTTTTGTGAATTTTAGGATCTTGTTTTAATTTAGGCCATTTATGAAATGCTATATTATTAGCTAAATGTCTGAGCTTCAATTTGAACTTTAAAAATGAAGCACTTCTTAATAAGGAAAGTTTATCAAATGGCTTAAAAATAGCACTTATTTATAATGAAAGCTTACCATTTGAAATAATTAAAATGATAAAGCTTCATACATCAAATGGTATAAATTGAAATTTATCTTCTCTTTTTCTATTTTCTTACATAACTATTTGATATCTCAAAATCAATTGATCCTTTTCATTTAGACACTTTTGAAATAAATACCAAAAAATAAAAAATTTCTTAATATTCATGGCAAAACTTCATAAAAATAACGTAAATGTCATCAAAACAATGATATTTAGTACAAGATTTCTTACAAATAATGACATTTGAAGGAGAACTTCATTAAAACAATGACATTTAATACAAATTAAAGTCAAAAAATTTAAATGTGATATTATTAATCCCGCATTACCAATATTTACACCTAATATTGAAAATTCATTTTTAAAAAAAATTATTTCGTCATTTCTTTATTTTTAAACTCTAGATCCTTCTTATCTAAGTTGACGACAAATTCGTCTCATATAATTTATGGGTGGAAAATTGTTGTTTTCTGTTCAAACTTTTTAATTCCAGAACTCAAACGGCCTCAAATCTATAATTAATGATAATTTTTTTTTATTCATTCCGTCATATTTTTTGACTACAATATTTCAATTTTTATACATCCTTCATCGACACAACTAGTTTGATCCGGAGCTTAAAGGGCAAAAAAAAATTGACAAAAATTTCAAAAAGGTATATCAAAAAATTTTCTAATAAAAACGGTAAAATTTTCTAATAAAACGATACATCAGTAGCAATTTTACCGTTTTGATTAGAAAGTTTTTTAATATACCCTTTCGAAAAAAATTTTCAATTTGTTTTTGCCATTTCGGCTCCAAATTCCAACTAGTCTCACCTCCCTTGTCCATGGATCCTACCTCTTAAGTCATAAAAGCATCCACTTGTTTTCCCCAACCTCCAAACACCCCCTACACCTTTGCATATATTCTTGTTGGATCGGGTTTTTGATTTCTAATTCGATGTTTGGTATTAGAATTGAATTTTAACTAAACATAAATTTACGCTAAAAAGTTTCACATTAAGGATTAAAGGATGAACCACTAAGTGGCGTACTACCCACCTTTGTCTAAGGGGTGTCAAGCGACACTCTTTCGTTGGAAAATTACATTATATATAGAGGTTAAATTTTAGTTTAGTAAATTCATAGGTTAGCATTGACACCTCTTGATACAAGTTAAATATTTAGTCTAGTGATTAAAGTGTCATGAAAATTCCTTGAAGCCGTGGATTTAAGTCATACTAGCCTCATAATTATATTTTTTAGTACAACTATTGACGCCCCTTAGTATTCCCTTCCAATCTCGTATAAGTTGGTGGGTTAAACTGGAGATGGTATTGTTTCAATTTTTTATATTGAAAAAATTAGTTTTAAAAAATTTATATTTTTAACCTTTAATTTTTTAAAATTATTTAAGGGTATATATGATCTTTCTACCAAATTTTAAGGTATATTTTAATCTTTTTCATGCATAAGTTATTGTTTTGACTTCTTTGATTATCATCGTTGAATTTCTTATTCTTATTTTATTTTTTTCTTTCTTTTACTCCTTGATGTAACAAAAAAAATGTAAACAATTTTTTTGCTATATTATAATTTTAAACTATTTTTCGGCTATATTATAATTTAGTTTTTATATTTGGGAAAAATTGGGTCATCTATAATAAATTTTACAAGAATATTAGTGAAACATAAATAAATTTGATCATCAAAATAATAAATTTAAATTAGTCATTGAAACAAAAAAAATTAAAAAAAATATGTTTGAGGAGTATTAAGTATACCCATATGGGATTATATTTTGTTTTAAAATATTATTGAAAATTAAAGTGAAATTAATTTTTTTCACTTCCGTTAGAGAAAAAGTTATATGTGAGTTATTTGTATAATAATAAGGGTATATATGAGTCACTTTATTAACGAGAGGTATATTAACTCTAAATGACAAAATGACAAATTAAAAGGTATATCACAAAGAAGGGCTTCTTAATTTTATGATTATAAATTAAAAATATATTAAATATATTAAAACAACATTTAACTTTATGATATTAAACATGTTATTTAACAAATTATAGATTTTTTTAAAACTAAAATGGACTAAAAAAAGAAGTAGTACAAATAAATTAAAATAAAAGTATATTACTTTTGGAAGTTGCAACATTTATACTTGTTTAATTTCTTTCCTTTTTCTGCCTCGTAAAAACATTTTTTTTAATCAAAATTTTCTCTACCAAAACATCCTTCAAATGTAGGTATTTTTTTTAAACCTCAATTCTCAAATGTCTGCTTAATTATAATGTAACATTATATTATATGATCCAAAAGTTTAATTAATTTATAATTACTAGATTAGTATACTTTAAAGTTGTACTGCAAATCTAATTAATGTATCTAAAGCCCATGTTCCAAGGGGGAAAATCATGATTGTGGATTACAAAAACAAATTATACTTAATAAAATAAGGTCATTAGCTTTTCTTTTCTTCCAACTCTGCATTT